AAGCTAATACCTTGGTGTACCCGGCCTCTTGCTCACCCAACAAAAGGGAGCTCGGGGCCCTGCTGTGGCCTCCACCAAGATCTGGCAGAACAGATAGTGTGACTGACAAACAGCTGAAATACCTACCTATTTTGTTCTCCAGACCTTTATTGCTCTTGAGTCACACAGTTGTTCCTCAAATCTTAAAACCTCTTGACTCATGCAGAGGCCAGCCCAAATCTTTGTGCTATGCTCAGCCACCTGGTTGTACCTTGATCTTCTGCTGCAGGGGTCATCAGCTTTGCAGGTTCCTCCCTGGGTCTCTTTTACTGTTTGCAAATTTCTCATTTCGCTGGCCAGGGGCAGCGTGTGGATGTTGGGCAGACCCACAGCAAGGGGGAAGAGGGTGCTGGGGAGGCAGAGAGGTCTCCTGATGCTCCTCTGCAAGGCCTGTCTCTTCTTTCTTCCTTTGCTCCTGTGGGTTTTCATACCCAGTTAGTTTTCATTTGTGTTAGTAGTTAGGTGTCAGCCCTGAAGAGCTTCCAGTTGCTGTCAGGTTTGTGCCAGGCAGAGTCACTACTCGCAGTTGCCGTTGCCTCTGTCTGTGTGTATGGTTTCACTGTCCTAGTCTCCAGTGCTCCCTTCCATGTCTGTGCCCTTATCCATCCATACATATACGCTGTCTACAGATACCCCTGACAATCTTTTCTTTTTTCCCCCTGTTTTCCTGTAAGCAGACCGCTTGCCCGCCTTGGGTGTCACCCTGACACCAGGTGACGAGAGCAAATAATGACAAAGCAATGCTTTTGGCTGATGCTGACATCAGTCGTGCCCTCACGTGCAGCCCATCTGCCTTTTGGTCTTCGTGCTCAAAGTGCCCAAGAAGAGTCCAGTCTCGTAATCTTTGAGTGAGGTGTTCACCTGTGATAGTTCAGTACCTCCAACTGGTATGGGGGTACGTTGAGCACAAACTAGAGACTTCAGACCTCTGTCCAAGAGAGGGTCTGCTGTAGTGTTGTCTTGCCATCGTTCTTCAAGTGAAGTGGTGGAAGAGTAGAGGGAGCTCCCATTGTTTTTTTCCTTCCTAACTATGTCCTGCAAAATGAATCAAATAGATATTATGCAGTTTAATTCTGGCTGTAGATGGTGGCTTGACTTTCTTTTATTCCCAAACGGAGCAGTGGCAGGAGGGCTGTGGGGCTTTCCGTACGGTTGGGAATAAAGTTGTGTTGCACTCATGAAGTGAGATAACCAACCTTTGAACAGGGCAGTGTCAGCAAAGGCCAAGGGGTTAGATAGCCGTGGCTACTCTTTAACTTGTCTTTAGACATATTCTGAGGGAATCATAGTAACCTCTCTGCTGATGGGATTTGCCACTGATCTGACAAAATACACCTCTGATCATTATTTGAGACATTTTGGAAAAGTAAGAAATACCATAATTCAGTATACATACATGCACAAATCAGCCTTGTTACTTGGAATAATGTTTATAGTTGTTCTTTTGGTGGGGAAAAAATAAAGGAAAGGAAAAAGGTAACTTCAAGACACACAGTTGACCATTTTTTTGTTCAGCACCAGGTCAAAATGAGGATGTCACTGTATTTACAGCTTCTGTGGATATATCTGCACATATCTGAACAATGTATGTCATGTAGGTGATAAGCTTTTAATTTGGCTCCATTCATTTTCTTCCTTTAGATTGCACTAATGCTTTAAAACTTTGACCTCATGAAGAAATGCTTCACAGCATTACTTAGTGTTCAAACCAGCCAAGATCTTCTTGTTGGGATGTTTTTCTGTCCTTTTCCTTAGGGTGCTGTTTGCCTGGAGGTGACTTGTGTTTTATTCTTCAGTTCTGAATACCTCATTCTCTCCTACCACTGATCTGCTGTAAGGATGTTACTGGGACAGGGATGATGGGCTTGGTAGTGCCTGAGTATATGACTCCTGGACAAGGATACGAGGTCAGAAAAACGATCTTGATCCCAATCACATTCACATCAATAGAAAATGGTTTACCTTTAGCACTCTACGTGGAGAGAGATGTTTGTAGGTGACAGCTAAATGAGGTCAGAGAACTTCACCAGTCAGTTCATTGACTTCCAAAATGTGGAGGGCAGAGCTTTTATGCAGAGATACTGATTTGCATCTGCACAAGGAGTACTTCCACTCTGTTTTTAAACATAAGCCTTACCATGTGAATTTGCAGGCGTTGGGGCTTTTTCTCATAATAATACTGTAGTATGTTATACCTGGATTTTTTTTTTTTTGATAGGTTTGCAGATACAGCAGTCCAGAGCTGTGTCTTGCAATGTCTGAGCTCAAGTTTGGCTTGGGCAGTGTGTAACTGCAAAGATTTTGTATGGATACTTCTGTGCAAAGTAAAGAACTGCTGGCTTGCTTGTTGCTGAAAACTGTATCTAATGGTTTCAGTGATCCCTTCCTGAGTTCCTATAACTAATTTCTAATCTGGCCTTTGTCTCTTAATGTTTTTCAGCTGGGAATTGCCCCATTTTTCTCTCTCGGCTGCATGCTAGTCTTTTAATGACCCTTTCTGACAGTTCCTTTGTGCCTGCCTGTATCCTAGGGATGCGGAGATGGTAACAGGAAGGAGAAGATGAAGACAAAAAAACCTCTACTCATTTTCCTCTGCTTTTTCTCAGCATGGCCTGCATGCGGGTGGTGAATGCAGAGCCCCCTGTGTGGCGGTGCTAGGCTCCCTCTCCACATGGAGTATTTGTTAACGCTATGTGTAACCCTGGTGTGGAGCAGCCACCACACGGACCCGAACTGGCTTCACGCTGGTGGGGGTCTCTCCCAGCCATGGCCTCTGTGCCAAGTTCAGGCAAAGTATCCCCCAAAGTGCCGTTCTGGTGGCTGGCACGGGCCGGTTCCCCCGCGGCCGTTGCCCGTGTTTCACAAGCTCCTGCCTTCATATCTTCCCCGGCTCCCTCCTGAGTTAGGGTTGTCACTGTGTGTTTGTTGAAGTGCCTGGTGAGCAAAAATTTACTGCTGTTACAAAATCAGCCATCCTGCCAATGTCAGTGGTATCTCAGTCATTAGCATCAGAAGAGATCATGTGTATTTTTTTCCCCCTATTCAAATACCAGCAACTGCCAGAAGCAGGATACGGGACAGTGTGGTCCAGAGGGCTGTCCCGCATTGTAAACCCCACGTCCACACCTGCCTTCTCTTCGGGAACTATGTTATTTCTGGTTTCCTGACGTCACCCATCGATTAGCATGTTGCAACCTCGCTGCTATGATCGAGAGGGAAGAGCCAGAAATCATGGCCTCTTATCAGGAACAGTGTGGTGAGCAGGGCGAGGAAAGTCATCATCCCTCTGTACTCGGTGAGGTCACACGTCGAATTACTGTGTAGTAATATCTCACTAAAAGAAAGGCATTGAGGTGCTGGAATGTGTCCAAAGAAGGGCAATGAAGCTGGTGAAGGCTCTAGAGAACAAGTCTGATGAGGAGCAGCTGAAGGAACTGAGGTTGTTTAGTCTGGAGATGAGGAGAATGAGGGGAAACCTTATCACACTCTACAACCACCTGAAAGGAGGGTGTAGCGAGGTGGGAGTCCATCTCTTCTCCCAAGTAATAAGCAACAGGACAAAAGGAAATGGCCTCAAGTAGCACTGGGGAGGTTTACATTGGATTTTAGGAAAAATTTCTTCATTGAAAGGGTTGTAAAGCATTGGAACAGGCTGCCCAGGGAAGTGGTTGAATCACCATCTCTTGAGGTATTTAAAAGGCGTGTAGATGTGGTGCTTGGGGACATGGTTTAGTGGTGGTTTTGGCAGTGTTAGATTGATGGTTGGACTCAATGATCTTAAAGGTCCCTTCCAACCTAATGATTCTATGATTCTATGAAATAATTGTATGGAAAGGAAAAAGTCCTCCCAACAGCTGTGGTCCTCTGGGGTTAATTATCTTTTGGGGATAGTATTGCAATAAGAGGATATCAAAAGGTCATCACGCAAATATTTTGAATTTTCTTTATTGTATTCTTTGGATGAAAATACAAACTGATACCTCTTAAATACACCAGGGAAGGCAATGCAAAGAGTTGTAAAAATGTCACCCCTTCCATATTTATGATGCATTGGAGTGACCCAAATCAAACGAAGCTAAACAACTTGGCTGTGGAAGTAAACACAGCTGCCTTTTTTTTTTTTTTTTTTGCATAGCTATAAGAAATAAGTAGGGAAATGCAAAGAATCCCTTTATAATTAATAGTTTAGAAGAAGGTTAGTAACAATTTGCATTTAATTCAGTGCAGGAACAGATTGTTCTCTGTGGTTTTTGGTGGTCCTGGGTCTTAACAGAGCCTTTTGTCTCAGGTGAAGTTTTCATCAGTGAGAAGGCATATGTTTCAGAGGGCCACGTTCAACAAGCTGCTTGTGTCACCAGGCAAACAGTTAATTGGGCTGAAAACCGTGCCATTCCTTCTTGTTGTGCACAAATGTGGGTGTTTCAGTCTAGTTACTTGGTTGCTCATTCATGCACAGGCATAAGTTCAGGAGCCTGTGGTAAAGCATCCGTTTAAACGTATTTTTTTTTTCCCCCCAGTTTCCACACAGACTTAGCAGTTCAGCCAAATAGCTAAAAATCCTCAGGGGTTTAAAGGATTAAATGAGAACAATTGTTAAGGTACAGGAAGGGCTGAAAAGTCCTGAGAATATGACAGGAGGTAGATGCTGAAGGAACTGCTTAGTGAACTACAGCCTACCCTGTTAACGGGTATAAATAGAATTGTGGGTGGTGGACTGTTGGGTTGGTGGAAATTTAAAAAAAAGAAAGAAAAAAAAGGGAGATCTAGTGACAGGTGACCTGAAGGCTGGGCAGTTTGGTGAAGCCAGTGGTAAGATGCTTTCTTGTTAAGGGTCGCAAATTTGTTTCTCCCTCCAGATTAGAAGGTCAGTGGTAGTTTTCATTCCCCCTTAGCTGGGCTCTCTTGTTCCCACTGGTTCCTGTAAGTAACTTGTTCCTTCACGTTTTTCTGTTTTGTCTCAGGTACTGAAAGGTTCAGGCTGGAGGTTTTGCTGTGCTTGTCCCTAGCTGCTGCCCGGCACAGCCCTGAGGAGAAGTGAAGTGTCTGGAAGGTGGGTGCCGCCCTGAGGAGAAATATTGGGAAGGCAGGCACGGCCCTGAGAAGTGAAGTGTCGGGAAGGTGGGTGCTGCCCTGAGGAGAAGTAACTGTTCCTTGCCTGTGGGGCACCAAGGTGAGGCTCTTTGGGAGGGCCACCGTGCCTCCCTGTGCTGGCCGCCATGGAGACCCTGTCCCAGGACTCTCTGCTGGAGTGCCAGATTTGCTTCAACTACTACAGCCCCCGCCGGCGGCCCAAGCTGCTGGACTGCAAGCACACTTGCTGCTCGGTGTGCCTGCAGCAGATGAGGACCAGCCAGAAGGACCTGCGGTGCCCCTGGTGCCGCGGGATCACCAAGCTGCCGCCGGGGTACTCCGTGTCGCAGCTGCCCGATGACCCCGAGGTGATCGCCGTCATCGCCATCCCCCACACCTCGGAGCACACCCCGGTCTTCATCAAACTCCCCAGCAATGGGTGCTACATGCTGCCCTTGCCCCTCTCCAAGGAGAGGGCGCTACTGCCGGGAGACATCGGCTGCCGCCTCCTGCCCGGCAGCCAGCAGAAGTCCCTGGCGGTGGTGACGATCCCGGCGGAGCAGCAGCCGCTGCAGGGCGGCCTCCCCGCCGAGGTGGGAGCGGAGGAGCCAGACCGGAGAGGCGTTGTGAAAAGCTCCACCTGGTCGGGGGTTTGCACTGTGATCCTGGTGGCCTGTGTCCTGGTCTTTCTCCTGGGCATCGTCCTCCACAACATGTCGTGCATTTCCAAGCGCTTCACGGTGATCTCCTGCGGTTGAAGCGGGGAGGGGGGGCTGTGCTCCCCCGGGGGTTGGGTTGGGTCGGGTCGGGTCGGCGGCGGTGGTGGTGGTGATGGTGATGGGGTCAAGGGAGACAATTCACTGCAGCTTTGCCCAATGACTGCAGAACGCTGTGTACCGGGGCAGCGGTGCACCGGCCCGGCCACGGCCCCCGGTGTGGCGGCGTCAGGCCTCCTGGCAGCGTGCGGAGAAAATCACGTCCCGTGTCTGGCGGCAGCGGCACCGAGGAGGACTGCATGCGTCACCATAATCATTTATCAAAGGGACTGCAACTTACAGTGATTTTTTTTTTTTTTTTTTTTTTTTTTTTTTTTTTTTTTTTTTTTTTTTTTTTTTTTTTTTTTTTTTAGTCGTGTTACAGGATTAAAGACATCTATGTAGCTGGTTATACTGTAAAGTATATGGTATGAGCTCTTCTCTAAACACAGTAGATTAAAATCAAAACTGCTCCATGTAGAATTAAAGGAGAATTGGCACGCGACTCTGTACAAGGTGTTCAACACCGGTCCACACATACATTATTTTATAATGGGGGGGAGGGAGACAGACTTGTAAAAACAAGAAATCATTTAGCTGCTAAGGCGTTTTATATGTTTTGAACTGCACATTAATTAAACCAAGTTAGGAAGTTGTACAGTAGTTTTTAAAAGGGGGCATTTTACAAGCAATCATTTTGTTCCATGGTGTGTGTTTTTTGCCTCTCTCTTTTTCCCCATGTTTTTTTCAGCTACAGGGAAGTGGCATTTCCAGCACGTTTTATTTGAAGGAGCTTCACGAAAAGGATGACTTTAAACAGTAAACACTGGACACGCTCTTCTGATCTGGCAGCAGGGCTTCCCAATGGCCTGGCCTTCATAGCCATTAGTGAAGAAACGGGTCACGAGAAGTCCTAGAACTCCTACCTGCAAGGACATGATGGAAGATTTTTTTCTATATATTGGGTTTTCATAATTGTTTTTAAAGAATTTAGGCCTATTTTGCCCCCTTTCACAGGAGATCAACTGTGCACCCATGGATGGTGTAACAGTAGAGTTGCTCTAAGGAAGCCTCACCATCCCAACTGAGACCAAGGACCTTTATGTGCAGTCATCTAGTAAGAGGCAGTGACATAGCTGGGAGGAGAACCCAGGCCAACTTAACCCTCTACTGGGTGGGCTACTACTCCTAAACCACTGTGGCTGTTCTGGTGTCAAAATGTCTGGCTGAGCATAACAGAGCCTTTTCCCACATTTCAGCCTTATGAATGCTGGTATTCATAAGGCCAGATTTGAAAAAGACACAAGAAGTGTCTCCCTCCACCTGCAAGTGTCATGAAACCCCTGCCATTTGCAGTTCACTTCTTGGAAAGAGCCAAATTCTACAGCCTTCGCTGCAGTAGCGCCTTGCTCTAAGCAGTCCCTCTAACTTTATTAGTACTGCTAGTAAGGAAAATAGAGCTCAGTGTGAATTTGGGTATTTGGCAACTCTGAAAGCTGAAATTTGTGTGAGATTTAGGAATCGGATCAAGGGGCACATGACAGACCTTTAATACGACAGAAAAAGCTATTGATTTGCACTGGTTCTTTTGGCAAGGAGAAAGTGTAACCTCCCTGAAGTGTGACCTCCTGTCTACCTACTGCTCTTTCTTATAATTAATTGGAGATTGCTCAATGCCATATTATAAACACCGGAGAACATAATTTTCACTATGCAGTGCCCAAGTTGGCCCTGTAGACATCAGTGATTTTCTTGTTATGTCACAAAATCCAGTTGCTGGTTCACAATAAACATCCTCAACTAGGACCTCTGTCGGTAACATACCTCTAACTTCATGCTGGATTTCTTCCCTGCTGTGTTCCCAAACCACCATTTTTCTTCCTTGATTCCTATTAACTAAAGAATAGCTTATAAGGTGCTTATTGTTATGGTGTGTTTTGGGCCATGTATGGAGAGGAACCATTGTGCTGATTTTTATCTGCTGTCATATGTATGCATAGCACAGCAAAACAAAAAACTAAATAAAAATTCCTCAGATAACACATTCAATGCCTTTTTCATGCAAGGCCCATGTGCAGTATGCCTTGAAACCTGACTTCGGAGTATTGTAATTACATGGACACCTCTCCGCAGCATGTTCTATTTGGTTGCAGTAGGGAATAGCAGGTATTCCAAAATGTGTCTTGTGAACGTTCAAGTCTCTTGTTGCCAGTAGGTAGCCATATTTCTACGGATATCCACGCTACGCTGCTTAATGTGTAAAGGAAAGCCAGTTCACAAAAAAAAATCTTGCCTTTCTAAGACTTTTGAGGAGGAATTGACCAGATACAGGACTCAACCCTCTACTGCCTTATCCCCCTGTAGCGATTGCCGAGTGTACCAGGAGCGGGAGATGCTCCGAGAACAAGGCGCTGAGATGTTTTGCACCAACTTCTGCATTTGTTAATCCAAGTTGTCAATAACTGCACAAAACCATGAGGTGGTCAAAGAGCAGGTCCTGGAGATACAGTGCCAACAATGATAACCTCCTTCTGGCCGTACCTGCCCAGTCGAAGCTCTTGAGGCTGAGGTTTCTCTGGCGTTGCAGAGAATGGCTGTCTTGACAAACACCCCTCATTGGCCCTACATGGAGGGTGCAGTAGGAAAGAGAAATCAGAAATTAGGTTAAAATACCACACTGCGTAACGCATTATGCAACAGGCAGACCCAGGGTTTATCCGGTATTAATGACGTAAGTATTAATATTAGCGGAATACCATCCTGTATTACGTAACATGGTACATTGTTTCATTAGTATGAATTTCCGTACTTTTCGTGCCTGCTGAAATGCATGTTTGACCTAATTTCTGATCCAGACCTTTGCCTGCTCTCGGCCTTGTGTAAGAGCAATAAGTAAAACCTCAAGACTTCTGTCTGCACGTGCATGCGTGTGCGTGCGGCGTGTACGTTCATTCCTTTTATAAATAGGAGTTCTGGAGATGGTTTTGTTCTGGCTTTAGACTGTGACTATCATTTTAAATTTGCAGCTGCCATATCATGTTGGATCACTTAAGCTTTTTTGCTGACTTATGTAGAATTGAACTAAATAGTTTGTTGTAATGTACAGTGTTAAAATGTTTCTCAAGTATGTCGATAGTCACCACTTTAAAAATGCAGTGCAGTCTGTCCTGTTCCTCGGTCCAATACCTGGCATTAAAAGTGATACTGCTATATACACTTCTAACTTTTTTTTTTTTTTTTTTTTTTTTTTTTTTTTTTTAAATAGCCTTGTCTGTGTGTTTTTTTTTCTCTGTGGAGACACACAGGGATGATGACTTGTGTCAAAATATCAGGTTCTGGGCTAGCTTTCGTTCTCTGGTGTCCAGTAAGAAATCACTGCCCAGTTCCACCAAAAAAAGAGAAACTTACTGTGACTCTAGTACTGTTTGAGCAACCAAAATTTATGCTAAAACTTGTGGGTAATTACTCAAGCACCTGCATTTTTAGAGCAAATTACTCTGTATGAATGTGTATTTATTTGCTTGTTTAATGGGAAGGATGTGTGTATTGGGGTCCAGCTTTGTTTTTGTCCTGGAGGGTCCCAACTTCCATTTTTGGCTTGTGCTTTCCTGGCAAACAGACTTTACAGTTCACTCTGTGAAATTTTGTTTAGTGAATTTTAAAAATTCAAAATATGCAATTTTGGTATGCGGGATTTTTTTAGGAAATTGTGTGTTCAGTGATTATTCATGCTTAATCAAGATGTAAAGGAGCCTGGATGTTTTGTAAACATGGAGCAATCATGAGTCCAAAGTTTCATCTTTATTAATGAAGCTCAGTCTGAATAAAACATTAGCAGGAAAAGAATGATACCAAGTGAATTATGGTACCTCTGTTACTTTGCCATCAGATGAAGAGCATGGAAGGAAATTTGGCAGAATGGCTCTGTAATTTATGAGGGGGTGACTGAAATTTGACTTGCAGCGTTTTAAGGAAAAGCATTACGTGATAAAGAGTAAATGGTTTATCGTGTTTTAATTACTGAGGGTACAGAATTATAGATGATGACTACTGAGCCACACACCAGATTTTTTTTTCTTCTTTTTTTCTGTTTTAATCACATGACTTAAAAGTTTTAAGTGAACTTTTTGCTTATGGAAGTGAGGGATTACTGGCCTTGACTTAAGCAGGTATAGTACAGACTGGCACGCTGGCTCCCCCGTCCCCTCGAGCTCACCTTCCCAGTCACGTTATTATTGCTGGAGCACTGGGCAGCCAACCTTTCTGATACTGCAGATGCTTTTCTGGAGTAGAGATGGCTGACGTTGCACTGGTTTTGTTACATTCGCAACTGGGATAAGCCAAAACCAAACAATTCGTACAGGATTTGAGGTCTTCTGCGGTAGTCCTGCTATCAAAAGCTCTTGGCACTGCAGGAACTGCTCCAAGCCTCTGTGTTCCCTGGATCTTCTCACAGAAATGCCACATAGCGCAGGATGTTCTCTCCTTCCAGTCACAGAGAAGGGCCATACCTACCGTCCACAGCTAACACCCACCTTCCTCACTGGGAACGTGGCCTGCTGGCACACAAGACACTTGGGGTGGGTTACTGCAGGAGTCATTCGCATGTCAAGTGAACGTATATCAAGTAAATTTGGGGGTTGAAACATTTCTCATCCTTCTTGCACAAAGTGTGGCTTGAGATTTGTTTTTTCCAGACATTTTCTATGGGTGGATGGAGGTGGGGAGGGAGGGAAGGAGAAGGTACATGCGGCAAATGAGTCCAAGCACCATCTGGGAGGCTGTCGAAGGATCTGCTGGCCCTGGAGGGAAAGGTTTTTGTGCAAGAGCTTCAGCAGGGCATGATTTTCTGGAAATACTGCAATGGATTTACAGCATGTTTGTGACCTTTCTGGTGCTGTACACTGTCCGTAGGCCCGACAGCTGGGGCTGTTGTGTTTTTTCTCTCTGTCACTTTACCTCTTGCATGCTCGTGTCAACAAGCAAAGCTGCTTGCTCCGTCCTCATGTTGAACGATTTTACAGACGTTTCTTAAGTTGCCCTGAGGATCTCTAATGAAAAAAATTACCTTCCAAGTTCAGTGAAATTTAGTGCTTAATAAATGTTTGGAAAATACATTTTTCAAGCATTTCCTTATGCTTTGATAGATTTTTATTTTAGTTCTAAATAATTCCTGTAATTTTTTGTGCTAAGCATGGTCCTGAACATAAGAGGAGATTCTGAGGGACTAGGTAAGATCTATAGCCAGAAGAAACTATTTCCTTACCCCCAACCATCCATCCCATGGTGCCCTTCAGATCT